AGTGTGGGAGGCAAACAATTGATGTGTCTCTCTCCACTGCCCCCATCTCCCTCTCTCTCTCCCCTACTTCTACTCTCTCTGGAAAAGCAATGGAAAAAATATCCTCAGGTGAGGTTAAAAAAAAAAAGAGGTAATAGAATGTTATGTCCTTACGAGATTGGGTGTTTTATTAAAATAGCAACTTACTGAGCTTTAAAAAATCCCCTACGCCTTTTGTTTATTTCTATGGAAATGGTTGTTTTAAAATCTTCTCCTTTAACCTTTTCCTGTTTCTTTCTGTTGTTTTGTTTTGTTTCCAGGTTCCGTCTCTCTTTGCCAGAGTCCAATCGCGGCAACATTGAGGTAGGGATCGGTCTCAGAGTTCCCTGGCCAGGGAACATGAGAACCCTATACAGTAGCTGGGTGATTGTTTCCTGCGCCTCTGAGGGGTACTTGGTTTTCCCACTAGTGTAGGTTTTAACTTTAAAATTATTCATGTAGCTACTCATTCACCAAACGCGTTAACTTAGAGGAACTCTCCAGTTCACTCTTATCTGTCCAAAAAGATTTTAAAAAGAACTCAAAAGACTGTTAAGACATTGTGCAATGTTGGGGGAAAAGGCATTTTCAGGGCGATTTCAATTTTTGTATAAAATGATCCTCTACAGTTAAATCGAAGATCCAGGCTACCAAGGACGAGGCTCTATGTCAGTTATTAGGCCCTGGTCAAGTTTGCTCCTCAAAGGCTTTCTAGCCATCTTCTAAAACTAGAAGGATTACCTTTTAGGGGAGGGCAGCCTGATTATCTCCTGATTAGAAGAGTACATCCCAACATGCGACTTGAAACCCCCTCGCCCCACCTCCAAGCTTCAGGAAGATCAGCCACATCTCACTAATTAGCGTCCAACCCTCATGGCTCTTATATGCTAGAGCAGTGGTTCTCAAGTAGGGTCACTGTGGATTAGCACCACTGTGTATAGCCATTTGCTAGATGACAGACTATAGTCAGTAAATGCATAGCTGACTATCTCATAAATAATATTTCCTGAGCCCAGAGTGGTCAAAATGAGTCCAAGTCTTCCAGGAAGACCCACAAACTGCTTAGTATCAACAACAGAGTGTACTAACAATGACATTTCTGAAAAAATAGAAATGGTATATACTGGGCATAATGTTAACTTGTGTACTCCTGGCAGCATCCTGTGAGATTAGTACTGTTATCTTCACTTTACAATTGAGGAGCTTGAGGCATAGCTCCTGTGGTAAAAACGGGAGGTAAGCCTAGGAAGTCTGCTTCAGGGCCCCCCTTGCTAAGCTGCAGAGGTCCTCATTACTGCTAAACCTATAGGATGCTCAAAAAGATATTCATTTAATGAATTCATGGTCATCAGTTGGTTTATTTTTAATAGCTGAATCTTCCCAGAAACCACTTTGCTAAGATTGTACAACTATCATGATTTATTAAAGATAAGTTGGGCATTCTGGTGATGCTATTAACTGTGGAGCATGACATAATAAGAGGGCACTGCTGTGGCTGGGCTTCCCAGTAAATTAAGGAAAGACTACTAATTGGGACATACAGGGTGTCCCAAAAAAAGTATACACACTTTAACAGCTGATGGCTCCGTTTTGAAAATGAAGTGTATTTTATTTAACAAACACTGCTTTTATAATTATTCCAAGTGTGTGTATACATTTTGGGGGGACACCCTATATATTAGTTGTTCTAGATTGTCTTACTTGGTAGATATCTAAGTTGCCATGTTTGCTGCCACCATGTGGTCCCTCTGCATTTGTTGTCACCATGATCCAGGGTACAGGGGAACAGAAATGTTCATCCTCAAGCAGGAAAAGTATCAGGGAACTCTGTAATATGGCTTCCCACAAAACAGCTTTTGCTGTCTGGGAGCTGGAATACATATCTCCATGGGGAGAGTCTAACTATAGCTCTCTATCCGCTGAGGTCTGGGAAAGTGCAGGTCCAAACCAGGCATGGGACTTTCAAAATGCCTTGATTTGGCAACTGATTTAGTTTCCGCTTTCATTTTAGGTCCTGAGGTTTGAAAATATTCTGTCCGCCATCCTCCACTTTGGCGTCCTCCCACTGGCCAATGGTAAGAGGTTACTGGGAAACAATGTGACCTGACACTGGCTGAATGGTGGAGACTGTTTGGGACTTTCCACCCTGAAGCTTGTACTTCTAGAGTGTTATTAGGAATCCAGGCCAGCGCTAGGATTTGCAAAAGTTTGTACCATCAGCGGTACAGTTACAAAATTAGTTATTCCAGGTCCAAGCCTTGTTAGCAACTCTACCTAAGACGCAGCAAGAAAGGCTGCCTCTGGTTGAGTTCTGGAGATTGAACCATTCTCCTTACGCAGCGAAGAGCCTCCTTCAGCCAGAAATGGCATTACTCCCCCTAGGGCTGGGGCTGTGGTCCTGAAGCCAAGACCACCACCTGGGTGGACACAGTCTTAACGAACAACAGTTGCTAACACACAGCAGCAGCCTAAGTTTGGCTTAATTAAAATATGCTTTTACTAGAGACAAGAATGTTCTCAGGACCCAACAAGTAAGGTTTTTTCAAAATAAAAATTGGACAGCCATAGCCAGTGTGGCTCAGTGGTTGGAGCAGCAGCCTGTGTACTGAAAGGTTGCAGGTTTGATTCCCAGTCAAGGGCATGTACCTGGGCTGCAGGTTCAATCCCTGGCCCCAGGAGGCAGCTGATCGATGTGTCTCTCTCACACCAATGTTCCCCTCTCTCTTTCTTTCTCTCTCTCTCTCTCTCCCCCTCCCTCCCTCCTTCCCTTCCATTCTCTCTAAAAAATCAATGGAAAAAATATTCTCAGGTGAGGATTAACAACAACAAAATTGGACAAGGTGCCAACATTTTTCTGCCATCCAAATGCACATAATTGCAGGTGCATTTCTATTAAGCATGGATTAATTAACCATTCTTCTGGGGAAATGCTAGGGACATATCAGAGAAAACGAAAACAGAGAACCAGAGAGAATAAAAGACAAATTGTTAAATATCTGCTTGCTAGTCTCTTACTAAAAAGTTTGCCAAGCCTGGCCAGTGTGGCTCAGCTGTTGCATCTACCTAGGATCCAGGAGATCACGGTCCGATTCCTGGTGAGGGCACATGCCCAGGTTGCGGGCTCGATTCCCAGTAGAGAGCAGCTGATCAATGATCTCTCATCATTGATGTTTCTATCTCTCTCTCCCTCTCCCTTCCTCTCTTTGAAATCAATAAAGACATATCTTAAAAAAAAAAAAAAAGCTTGCCAAAACATCTGTGCTTATGCCCAATGATTTTACATCTTGTTTTCTATTTTAGCAAAATTGCAGCAAGGATTTCCTCTGCCCAACCCACACAAAATCTCATTGGTCAATTCAGACATCGAAGTCCTTGAGGTAAGGATGGAATATTCTCTTAACTGCCCCATTGCTTTTCACAGTAGAATAAGCCTCTTTCTATTTGCTTACTTTCTGTTTTATTTTGTTCTGCTTTGTTTTTTCCCCAGCCCAGGGAATTTTAGAGCAAAATGGTTAGCCCTTGAAGCTTGCAATTAACAATGAAAAGCATTTCAACTTGAGTTTTAAAATCAGACCAGGTCCAATTTCCTTTTGCAGCCAAACTCGTTCACACCACAGAACAAGAGGGACTGCAGCGCACTTTATTTTCTTTATTCCTCAAGTCAACCTGTAAGGCTAGGAGTATTAGTCCCATTTCATAGATAAGAAAAGTAAGATTCAGAGAGGTGAAGTGGCTTATGTATCTGGCAATATGCATGGCTGGGGGTCATGGGGAGGAGAAGACGTGACACAGTATGACCTATGGTAAAGAATGGTAAAGAAACCATTTCTCCCTCACCCCTCAGGTAAACCTAGATATCCCATAGCTGCCAGGGCCCAAAGTTTAACCTTGTCTTCATTGTTGCATCTTTTTCAGCATTTCCTTTTGATTTCCACTGACCTGAAGTATGAAACGCCCTTAAAACAGCAACCAAGTTTCTACGGTTGGGAAGGTCTGAACCTGATAGGTGGACAATGGAGGGGGAAATCAGTCCCCTGATTGCCCATTTTGAGTCCACTCCAGGAAGTCAATGGCCCTTAATCCCACCTGCTGTAAACCCAGAGGGAGAAGACAGTGCACACTGGAGCCTTAACGTCCTTGTGAAACGCTAGGCTTAAAGCTTTCCTTCTCCAGCCCTCAGGGACAGCAGGAGGCGAACTGGGTTAAAAGCTAAATCAGGGTGGGTACATCTCTGGGCGTGTGGAGGGATGGACATTTGAATGTGTGTTCATGTTTCAATCATGTTGTGTGTTCCTGTGTTTATGAGATTCTGTGGCCAAGAGCTAGGCATCTGCTTCTGACGAGGTGCATGAGAAACTGTTACGTACAGATTTGAATTGGTGGTGTCAGTGGAGAGCCCTTCAGCCCTTTCAGCTCTCGAGGGTTCTCCCCTCCCTGTATATTGGATTTTGTGTTTTATATTTACTACTACTGTTCCCTGTATTTAATTAAAATTGTTTTCTATCAATTGCAACCTTGTCTTTTTCTTTGCAAAATTTCCTGCCCCAGATTTTTTTAAAATAAGACAGAAAAGAAGGAAATGAATTTAGCATCTTTAACGATGAAAACTGAGGTTGTGTAGATTTCAAGGCTTGATTTTTACTCTTTAGTGTTTCCAGTGAGAAACAAGGGTAGTCTCAGGAAACTCTGGAAGTTGTATCACTTCTTTAAGTTTTAAGATGTTTTCCCTCCCAGATTAAATGAAATGGCGGTGCAGAGTACTAACCCTAGATAACTCATAGTTAATGATGATATTAATGTTGTTAGAGCACCTAATCAATGGGGTGTAATTGGAGCAAAAGAGGAGGAAAGGGAAACTGGCCTGGATGATGTAAGGAATAAATAGAAACCACACTTGGCTTTTGTGTTGTTGGGGGGGATGGGCATTGGTTGGAGTGCTGACCACATGCCAGACCCTGTGTTGGTTACTTCAGGAGTGTCAGTTCATTTCATCCTCACAGCCTCTCTATGAAGAATTAGGACCCCATTTTACAGATGAGGACACAAAGGTCAAGAGAGATTCACCACTCAAAGATGGTAAACGGCGAAGGTGGAAACTGGATCCAGGTCTTTCTGATTCTCAAGTCGCTGTTGTTTGCAAGAGGTAGGACTAGGAACGGAAACCACTTAAAAGCACACTTAGTACTCCGAACAAGAGACACTGCTGATAAAAGCACGATCCTAGAGTACTTAGTTGCCAAAGAAGGCTAGGCTGGGAAGCCCTGCCATCCACAGGGCCTGACACTGATGGGTTTTGGGGTGCACACCTGGCCAGAATGGGTGTCCCGTAAGTGCTCGTTGTACTAAAACTGTCATGTTTCATTCCTTGGGGTGCTCTTTTCTGACATAAAAGTTACTCAAGGTATATCCAAATATATACAAGGTGTATACAAATGCTCAGTTGTGGTATTAAACGTGTTCATCTTTCTCAGCTGCAAACATCTCTCCCTCTTCCTGCTGGGGATGAAACTCCAAGCTGGTTCATTCATTAGGGCAGCCAGACCCGACCCAGAGTCAGCACGTTTTTCAGCACTGCAAGCTCTTCCGAAACAGAAGATAGCTAGATCATACAGAAAACGGCTGGATTTAGCTAGCTAGTTTAGCTCTAGCCTGGAAGATGACCACTGGTACCCTACAAGGGAAACACTGGAGGGCAGTCTACCGTAACCGAGGGAAAAGCGGTTGTGCGAGGAGTTTGGAGCCTCGGCTCTCGCCGTAGCCCACCCTGCCGCGCGCCGACTGCGCCTGCGCATTGGGTCCCGGAAGGCGGTGCTTCAGGCCCGGGACAGCGCAGCAGTTCTCTTCAAAGCGGCCCGGGGAGTCGCTACCGCCGTCATCGCCATGAGTCGCAACTACAACGATGAGCTGCAGTTCTTGGAAAAGATCAATAAGAACTGCTGGAGGATCAAGAAGGGCTTCGTGCCCAACATGCAGGTGAGGCGGGGGAGCGAGACCCGCGCGGGGCCTTCCCGG